CCTTGTTGTTATATTGACACTGGTTACTTATCAAACCCACATAAGGAAAAATCTCTGAATGGTTATGCCTTTACCATTAATGGATATCGCAATATCTTGAAGGTCCACTATATGACCTTAATTGTGAAATCTTTAAAACATTCCAAGACTCACCTCACTTCACTACGCCACAAGTGAGACATGGTTATGAGTTCTTATTGAGCATATTCAAAGTACTTGTTGTTTTTATCCATCGTTAAGTCCCAACGACAATCCATGAAGATTATGCCGCATGTATCAACCTGACCAAGACATGATACATCAATGAAGTCAACACCAAGACATATTGCGTCTACATCAAGCTAATCCTAGACAACCTTGCTGACCTCTACATGACATCACTGCCGAAGTTAACCTTACAGATGCTTGTCCGAGGAATTTGTCTTAATGTATTCTTTTCCTTTACGATTAGGAGCATTTTTCCCATCGAGTTTTTGCTACCTAACTAGGTTTTGACGAGGCACCCACCCTGGGCTAGTCATACCCTTGTGAGCTCTTCTACTTGCATCCAGAAGACATATGGTTTGACTTATTGCAACTTCTCACTTTTCTCCTTAGTCTATGGGTTTTTCTCCCACCTTGGGTTTTACGATAGCAAGGTTTTGTGAGTTTTACCTTTTATACATTCTTCAGTTGATCTCGCATTTGCTCATTATGCTGACGACTTCATCAACTGTACTTGCTTCATCACTGAAGACCTGATGCACTATTTGTTTAAGTATTTACACACTCAAGGGGGAGTGTTGCATAGGAATGTGATTGTGTAAATCCTAACATATCTAGGATATCTTTATGGGATTCTACCATATCTCTTAGACTAAATATTATCCTATTAGAGTTGTGATCCTAAAAGGGTAATGAATTAACCTTTCTTACTACTATAAATAAAGGCACAATGGGGTGAAATAGAACACACCTCACAATTACACATCTCTTTCTTCTCTCCATGTGTTGCACCCCCTCTCTCTCTATGGCCTCCATAATTGTTCAGTAAATTATGCCTACAACTAATTATGATTTTTAAAAAAAATTAAAACAAGAATTTACTTGAAAAAAATTAGGGTGTATGGTGAAGACACAATAAAATTTGAATAAACAAAACAATAACCTCTTTCTCAGCACTTTTAGAAAAAAAAAAGAGTAAATGCAAGAAGACCGCGTGCCACGCAAGTGAGGTATTTTGGTAGCCTATTGTTGTTTCAGCAGTTTCCAAAAAGTCTGCCTTTTCTTTGTGATTTTTGGTACCAAGTACAACTCAAGAGAGCTGACTTTTGCTATAGAGGAGAAATTTTTTAGTGAGCAGAAAACCATAAGGGTGGGCAAACGGGCCCTGGGCCCGCGAGTAGGGGTGGGTATTAACTGTTCGGGGCGGGTCCTAATTTTAAAAAAGAGAAACGAGGCGGGGCGGGGCAGGCCTTTGACATTTTAGGTTCAGGGTGGCTCCAAAAGTATAGCCCGTTTTATACTGGCCGGGTTAGGTTCGGTTCTCAGTTTGAAAATAGTATAATCCGTCCCGGCCCGGCCCGTGCCCACCCCTAGAACACCACAAGTCATTACTCCAATTGGAAGGACAATTGAACAAAATAAATTTTTCTCCAATTGTATAATGACATGTGGTATTTCGGTCATGTTTTGAATACACTAAAAAATCTCTCTTTACAAAGACCTTCAACTTAGCAAATTGATGTGAAAAGGTGGACAAGCTAAGGGTTGCTCATTCAAAACCCCCTTATTTATTTATTTATTTACTTTTTTTTTAAGAAATGTACAATATTCATAGATATGAAAGATCGATCATATGGCGGATACAATGAAGTGGGCCTCAGTTAAAAACTTTGTTGGAACTTTGAACCCCCTAATGGTTCTTTGATGAGAATTGCGCTTGACAGGCAATAGCTACACCTCGTCCTGAAATGGTGACATAATTCCTTCAACTCTACCCGCCAATGCTGCCACAACAATAATACTAACATCTATTTTCTCAACCCAAATAGACAAAAAAATTAAAAAAAAGTAAAATGTTATCTTTACTATGTATTATATTATCATTTATACTTTCTAAAAATGTAGAACCCTCGTGCATGTATTGGTGAATTCTACTTTATCATTAAATATATGATATAAATAAATAGTAAGTGTAGTACTACAGAAAAAACAAAGAAAAAAGAGCTCTGAATTGGACAAATTCTAAACTTATGTGGGAGTTGAGGACTAATTCTGAATTTTACTCGAAATAAAAAGTAAAAATAACTAAACGGCGTCGTTAGTTTGTTGGGTTGGTTTTGTAACTTTCTTACGATAGGACGTGGCGGCGACCGAGCCTGAACTGAAATCAGCGGAAGGGGGGAAAATGGAGGTAGAGTGCCATGTGGTGGTGCACAACATAGCGAAGAGGCACAACGTGGGCACGCTCGCCTAGAGCGCCACCGCCTTCGGCGTCTCTGAGCTGATTCTGGTCGGCCGCCTAGAATTCAACGCCTTCGGCAGCCATGGCTCCACCACATACCTTCGCTTTCGCCACTTCCACGCCCTTCAAGACGCCCAACTCTATCTCAAGGTCCTTTATCTCTCTCTCTCTCTCTCCTTGATTTCTTTGATTTTGGATATAAATCTCACTAAGTAATGAGTATTCGATTTTGTGTATGTGGGTTTTAGGAGAGAGATTGTGATATATGCGGTGTTGAGATCACTGATTATGCTCTGCCTGTAAATCATCATCCTTTCACCAAGAGCACTGCTTTTCTTCTTGGCAATGAGGTAGTTATCATTTTTTACAATTACCCATGTGGGTTATTTGCTCTGTAACTATTGGCTCGATTGGGAGTTTTGATCAATAACTTTGTTGTTGGCATTTAGGCTTGTCAAGTAATGTACTTTTGATCATCGGTTTTGGGTAAATGTTGGTTGGGATTTCGTTCGATATGATTCGATAGTTTGAGAAGGTTTTTCCACTGCAATTTAACAATCTGGTGCTATGTGTTTCAGTTTTTTAGTCAAACTTCACTGTGCAATCAGTTATGCATTTGTAAATTAACCGCATTAGGATTAGGTGATAATCCCTTTATATTTTTCTTTGTGTTGTTTGTAGGGAACGGGCCTTTCTGCTAAAGAATTGGAAATATGCGACTTCTTTGTGTATATTCCGCAGTATGGAGGTGGTACTGCTTCCTTGAATGTGACCGTAGCAGTTTCTATCGTGCTGCATCAGTTTGGAGGTAACTATAAAAACATGGCCTGTATTAATCCCTTTTGTTTTTCTTCTCTTCTTTTACGGCCTTCTGGTTTATGCACTGTTATGTGATGGTTCACTGCATAAGCAAAGAAGTTACTGTCACTAGGATAATGTATTGTTTAGATTATCTTCCTAGAATCTAATCGGTGCCCTAATATCATTTTCTACGTTCCCATATCATTATGTTCAATCACCAAACCTCATCTATCCTCCTCCAGAATTCATCTCAAATATAATATGCAGGTCGTTTGTGTGCCCTCCCTTGTCTCGCCGGTCCTTCCTACCATTATCGAACTTATTATTGCGAATTTTCTACATCACCCAATATAAATTCTTGGAGTCTTATTCTGTCACTTGGCGTCCACTAGTCGAATTCTTGGAGAGGTGGTGTTAGGTAGGCCGTTAGTTTTTAGACCTAACTAAGCAGACAAAATAGAACAAGATCAGTCAATAAGATTACCTTTCTTAATGACCAAAATTGTTTCAACTTTGACTGGTACCAAGTAGTGCACACGGTAACGATTCCTTTCTTTCTAACTTGATTATTTCACTGTTGAATTGAAAGTGAGTTTACGTTTGATAACCAACACCGATCAGAATAAGAAAATCTTTTCTTTTGAACTATGCCAATAGCATGTAGGTATAATTTTACACTACTAATGATTCTTCTTGTGCACAACTTATGAAATTTCCCACCCTCGGTTCTCTTCAGTTTGGGCTGGCTTCCCTGAGAGAACTCGTGAAGGGAACAAGTTTATTGTGGCAGAGAAACCTGAAAAGCAGACAAGACGAAGTTTTTGTGCAGAAACAGCAGATTCCGTCATTGAAGAGCGAAAATGCAGAAAAGAATTTGCTGCTAATGGTTTCTTTGATGAGAGTGGAAATGAAAATTCATCTTCTAACCTTCTAGATGGATTGTTTGCTGATGTAAGAATATAATATCTTAGGTATCATATATTCTGAAATCGTTTAGATTGTTGGTACACATTACTCAACTGTTGTAACCGATTAACAAAAGGAACAGTTTATGAGTTTTATGTATCATCTGCAATGTGCGAAGATCTAGTTTCATAGTTTATAATGTTAGTGCCATGGGTTTTGTTCAAAGTTACTATTATGGGTTGTTTACTAATTCGTACTCGGAATGAGAGGAATTGAACTAAGGAGGAATTGAATTCAGGAGTTGGAATGAGATGGAGTCAATATCAGATTCCTGTTGAAACTGTTTATTAAAATTTTTGGAATCAGAGCAAGAAAGATACTGAACCATATAAGCTGTTTACTAATTCACATGAATCGGAAAGAAAATTAATTTGATTTCTAAACTACTCATATTCTAGTAATCTATTTTATATGCTAATTCTTTTTTATTCATTTATTTTTTTGGATAAAGCTTTAGGATTTGGCTACAATATTTTCTGATTCCCCTCAGGCTTGGTAAACGCTGGAATGCTTTGGGAGAAGTGCAATTCCGTTTCTTCCCATTTTATTCCGGTTTCATGATTAGGCCATTAGAGTTTGGAGGAATGTTTACCGTGAGAGTTTGTTTCAATTAGTTATGTGCTCCAAGTCTTTGTCATTAATTTTTTTTTTTTTTTTTGAACAAACGATATTAGCTACACTAAGGGGATGGACGAGTGAGCTAAGCCTCATATGAGCTAACAATAATGTGGTTTAAATTCGTCTTTGACGAGAATCGAACTAAGACCTTTCAGTTCTCACTCACAAGTGAAGAAGAATACCACTAGATGTAGTACTAGGTGGCCTTTGTCATTAATTTTAGCGTCCAAATTTTATCCAATGGTATAATAGTTTGTTACATTCACTCCAAAGGGATAGAGAAGGAAAAAGAATTAATCAAACTTTGGCAAACGACTACTAAACAAACAATGAAAAGCACAAACTTGCATGAGCAAACACTTGTACTATATTTAGCACTCGAGTCTTGTGAATCAAGCAATAATTCAAGAGGCTTAGGAAGCCGCCGACTCTGAGTCTTACGAAGAATCAGAACTTGACGCGGGGTACCCGATTCCATGGCGGTTGTTAGGGAACACAACGAAAACAGTACCGGCAATTGTACCAATAACCGGAGGCAACACCTGCAGCAAAGTCTTCTCAGTGGACTCAAACCCTGGATAATAGCACCTGACAGTGTTGGTATCCAAAAGTGATAAAACTGCAAACACAATCACGGAAAAGAAGGCATGCACAAAGTCCCCAATCCTAAGCTTATAAGCAGACAAGTCTACAGAATTGGAGTTTGTTGAGGGCCAAAGACCCTTGCATGTTGCCACACCATAGTGTGTTTGTCCATCACTCCCAGTGTAACTGTCTGTGAAGGAAGCAAAGCAGCAAGAGAAGCCGCAAAGGACGATGAGAATGGCGCTTAGGTATTTGTTGAGGGCCGTGCAGTCGCCGTTGTTGGTCAAGACAGGGTTGAGGAACTGGAACAAGAAGACCGTGCCGGTCGGGAGGAGCTTGATGAGGTTGCCTGCGCCTGTGAATGTTCTGTCTTTGGCGCTTTTGTTTTTGGTGGTGGTTGTCTTGGATTTAGAGGAAGAGCCCCCCATTTTTTGGAACTAACGTATTCTTCGAGGGAGTTTAGAAGTGTTGTTTGTGACTTTGTGTGTGTGTTCTAAATTGTGGTTTTTGTGACAAAGATTTGGTGCGTATTTATAGAGAAATATTAGACATTTCCCAGAGAGGTAACAATTGGGTAGCAAAGTTAATTTTGCTAACTCTTTGGAGATGGGCATTGGTTTGTTTCATTGATGGAATGGAAGTGCAATTGCTTCCACGTTAACTGAAATATAGCGTTGTCGTGTTGAGATGAAAAGGTGACTTTTACTATTGGAAAGGGCGGGCTTCATTTCTAATCCAAGTTTAAGAATTAATATTTTTGAATTTTCTGTGCCCCCAAGATAAGGATGCATAAAAGAAAATTGAATAAATCATAAACAGGATAAGTTAGTGTTGGGAAAATTACAATAAAAATTGTAATATTCTTCTAAAAACATAGACAATTAGGCTGAGGCGCTGGTATCTCGATCTCTTTAAGGAGATTCAAGCCCACTGCAGTTTTACAAAAGTTCACGAACCGGTGCAACAGTATATTTCTTGACTTGTCCCCTCTAGGATACAACAGCCCAACTAAATTGTGTTTGACTCAAACCTTTCTGCACAAAAAGAGAAGAATCCAAAGCTCCACCACAAGAACATCTTTCTTTGGCCAATATAAATAAAATATACAAAGTATAGAGGAATAAAGATTGTAGTTGTTAGGAAATTGGTAGTGAGATCATAAATAAAAGACAATGAGAAAGTGCTAATAATTATATGTTTTATTGTCACCCTTGGTGAATAAGATAATAAACACAAATTAACAAATAAAAAATGTTACAAGAGTTACAAAAGATGAAAAGCTAAAGACTCCATCTTAATTTCCCATGACAAATAAACTTACTTTCCCACTAACAACCAAATAATGACAATTATATATATATATATATATATATATATATATATATATATATATATATATGTAGTTATTAGGAAATTGGTAGTGAGATCATAAATAAAAGACAATGAGAAGGTGCTAATAATTATATGTTTTATTATCACCCTTGGTGAATAAGATAATAAACACAAATTAACAAACAAAAAATGTTACAAGAGTTAGGGCTGGTTTGGTATTGTTGTGCTTTGAAAAAAAGCTGCTTCTGCTGTGCTGTGAGAATAAGTGGCTGTGAAATAAAGCAACAGAGTGTTTGGTAAGATTTTTCGTAAAAGTGCTTTTGGAAAGAAAAAAAGCAGTATGATAGTGTTTAGTAAACTTTTATGTAAAACAGATGTGACTCGCCTCTTGAAAAAAAAAAGCTGGTTTTGAAAAGCTGCATTTTGCTGCTTCAGGTTTTTGCCACTTTTCAGCTTAAAATGACAGTGACTTTGAAAATAAGCTGAGTTACCAAACACAAATTTTACTCCATCTTTTTTTCATCCCAGCTTTTTTTAAAATCACCTCAACCCCAAACTGGGGCTTACAAAAGATGAAAAGCTAAAGACTCCATCTTAATTTCCCATGACAAATAAACTTACTTTCCCACTAACAACCAAATACTGACAATTATATAATTATAATTGTCATTATTCTATATAACCGGAATGTGACTTCTTAATGGACCGAAATCTCACGATTCTCGGGATGTGGATTCGTCTCTTGAATGACGATTCCGTAATATAGAATTTCCTCATTAGTTGGATAGAATAAGTAGGCAACAATCGGATTCACGGTAGGCTCAATAGGGGTCTGTGTCGTGGGTTTCCTTTTCCAGGGATGTGAATCATTTGGACCAGGTGGTCTGCCGCTCTTTTGTGTAGGGTAGGCCTGGCAATTCCTGACACAACCCGATAACCCGACACGACACGACACGAAATTAACAGGTGTTTAGAGCGACACGATAACGAATCGGGTCGTTATCGGGTAACCCGATAAGCACTTGTTAAGATAAAGGGTTGATTCGGGTATACACGTGGGTAACACGATACACGATAAGCAGAATATTAATTTTATAATTTTATAACCCTAAAAAAATATTATAATAATTATATATATATATATATTAATTTAACAATTTTATACCCCTAAAAACTAATATATATATATATATTAAATTAACTATAATAATTATAATAATTATATATACTATAATAATTATACCCCCAAAATATTAACTATAATAATTATATATATATATTAAATTTTAAATTAAATTTTATAAAAACTATAATAATTATTAATTAATATGCATCCATTGATTTCATAATTCCATTCCATTCATGCCGCACCCTTTGAAGAAAAAGGGAGGGAAAATGAAAATTATAAGAAAAACTGAAAATGAAACAAAAACAGAGAGGGAAAGATGGGTAGGCTGCTGCCCTTTGAAGAAAAAGAAGGGAGGAAAAAATGAAAATTATAAGAAAAGCTGAAAAGGAAACAAAAAAGAAAGGGAAAAATGAAAATTAATAAAAGTGGTGAGAAATTTTATTTTTTTTAAGTTATTAACTTTTTATCACACATATGACATATCCCACTATTTTTATAATGACACGTGATGTACTACTCCGTGTACCGGTCAATTATACGTACAAAATAAATAGATTTAAATCTACTTAATAAATATATATATATACACACACACACACACCATTGAACTTGATGGGATACGAATTATACAAAACTAATTTCAACGATCCAACCGTCAAACTTGTTTGTATATGCTTCGAGATCGTATCAGCAAAAAATCGCAAAAAACAAACATTCAGAGATCAAGTAACCAAACAAAACTTTTCGATGGTTATAAAACGAAAAATCATGATTTAACAGTTATTTTAACTCCGATTTTGATTATTTTTTATAGCTACACTCCTTAATCCTATATGAATACAATGAATGAATTCGATCTTCAATTTAAAATATCTACACTAGTGAATACCACAAAATCTTATGTTATACTTAATGAAAGTATGAATAAACTCTTAAGTATTAGTGAATCTATTGTTTTAATGGGATACTCATTCTACAAAATTAGTTTCAATAATCCAACCGTCAAACATGTTTGTATATACTTCGAGTTCGCATACACCAAAAATTGCAAAAAACAAACATTCAGAGATAAAGTAACGGGACAAAACTTTTTGACAGTTATAAACGAAAAATCACGATTTAACGATTATTTTAACTCCGATTTTGATGATTTTTTACAGCTACACTCCTTGACCATATATGAATACAATGAATGAATTCAATCTTCAATTTAAAATATTTACACTAGTGGATACTACAAAATCTTATGTTATACTTAATGAAAGTATGAATAAACTCTTAAGTATTAGTGAATCTATTGTTTTGATGGGATACTCATTCTACTAAACTAGTTTTAATGATCCAACCGTCAAACATGTTTGTATATACTTCGAGATCACATACGCCAAAAATGGCAAAAAACAAACATTCAGAGATAAAGTAACAAGACAAAACTTTTCGACAGTTATAAACGAAAAATCACGACTTAACGGATATTTTAACTCCGATTTTGATGATTTTTACAGCTACATTCCTTGACTCCATATGAATACAATGAATGAATTCGATCTTCAATTTAAAATATTTACACTAGTGGAATGAAAGTATGAATAAACTCTTAAGTATTAGTGAATCTATTGTTTTGATGGGATACTCATTCTACGAAACTAGTTTCAATGATCCAACCATCAAACATGTTTGTATATACTTCGAGATCGCATACGCCAAAAATTGCAAAAAACAAACATTCAAAGATCAAGTAAAGGGACAAAACTTTTCGACGGTTATAAAACGAAAAATCATGATTTAACGATTATTTTAACTCTGATTTTGATGATTTTTTACAACTACACTCCTTGACCCTATTGAATACAAAGAATGAATTCGATCTTCAATTTAAAATATTTACACCACAAAATCTTATGTTATACTTAATAAAAGTATGAATAAACTATACTAATTATATATATTAAATTAACAATTGTATACCCCTAAAAACTATAATAATTATATAATATAACTATATATATATATATATATATATATTAAATTTAATTTAAATTTTTGATGACCATTGGATCGGCTGAGATCAAGCCAAAGTTCCAATACAATTTCATGATGATTGATGTAAATCGAGGATTTTGTAAATTGAGGTTTAAACTTTTGAGAAAGACTTCATAACCTTGAAAACAAAAGTTTTTTCATTTTGCATATCCTTGCACATTTAATATTTGTAACAGATTAGTAGTGCATGTATTTTTTTTTATTAGACACTTATTTTCGAGTGTAGATGTAGTACTTAAACGAAAAATGTGTTTTAATGTTTTGAAGTAATATTTATGTGGCAATGTGTGGTATATGCAAATTTAAGAAAAAAAATATTTTTCTTAACGGGTCATAACGGGTCGGGTCACTTTACCCGTTGGGTAAAGTGACCCGACCTGTTAAGGACCCGTTAAGATAACGGGTGTGACACGACACGACCCGTTAAGATAACAGGTGTTACACAAAAACGACACGAACATGACAGACACGACCTGTTTGCCAGGCCTAGTGTAGGGGCAGAGGACTAGTTAGCCGCTAATGTATGTGGATCGGCCAAAGTGGCATCCCAGGCCACCAGGAGGGAAGTCTGTTATACATTTGGTATGTCCATCTTTCCAGGCACATTTGCAGCTGGAATATGTGATCTTGTCAATCGCGCTAGATCGGTGAAAGCATCCAATATGCTCTGAGCTATGCTCTAAAGATCTAATATGCGCTGCATTTCAGTTTCAAATTAAACAATGCGAGGATCTAAATGAGACAAAGTGGGCGATAATTTGTGTCGTTCTTCAGGAACGATGACGTTCTTATCTCTCCCTAACGAAGGGAAAACTGTCTCATAGAAGTGATAATCCGCAAAACGAGCGATAAATAGATTGCCTGTCAAAGTTCTAAGTAACGGATAATTGAAGGAGAATCATATCCGACATAGATTCTCATCCTTCAGTGAGGCCCCATTTTTGTACGTAAGGGCGGTGAAATCGGAACATAGATCGCATAACCAAAAATGCGCATATGCGATATGTCAAGTTCGTATCCAATAACCAATTGAATGGCGCTATATG